TACAGATGTGTCTAAAGCCGTTGTACTTGATGATATATCTGTGAGAGTTGTGGGAAGGATCTGATTAATTTTTTTTCTAATAGTTGTGATTTTATTTGTAAAGAAGCTCATGAAGTCATTGCTGCTGAGATCTAAGGGAATGTTAAGCTCAACAGCACTGTGGCTCTTTGTCAGCCTGGCTACAGTGCTGAAAAGAAACCTGGGGGTGTTCTTATTTTCCTCAATCAGTGATGAATAAAATGCGGTTCTGGCACTATGAAGGGCTTTCTTATATGTTATTAAACTATCTTTCCAGGCTATGAAAAACTCTTCTGACTTAGTGGAGCGTCACCTCCTTTCCATTTTTCGTGATGCCTGCTTTAGGGAGCAGAGCTGTGAGCTGTACCACGGGGCTATGTTCCATAAAAAATGAAATTAAGTGATGACAATGGAGGAGGGACTTAAATGACCATATTAGTGGTTTTGAGTCTTTTTGTCCTAAACCACATATAGCGTTAAATCACAGTTAAACAAATATTCAAAACCTGATGCTAACATATCTTTCTACCTTTCCACGCATCTGCTGGTGTTCATTCATTTCCACTTCCAGTAGGAAATTTTATCAGCACACACTACACTGTGTGCACAATTATTAGGCAAGTGAGTATTTTGACCATATCATTTTCATGCATAGTTTCCAACTTCAGGCTGTATAAACTTGCATGCTTATTGGATTTAAGCATATCAGGTGATGTGTATTTGTGTAATGAGGGACGGTGTGGCCTAAGGAGATCAACACCTTATTTCAAGGTGTGCATAATTATTAGGCAGCTTCTTTTCCTCAGACAAAATGGACCAAAAAAGAGACTTAACTGACTGTGAAAAGTCAAAAATTGTAAAGTCTTTCAGAGTGATGCAGCGCCCTTGAAATTTCTAAGATATTGGGGCGTGATCACAGAACCGTCAAATGTTTTGTTGCAAATAGTCAACAGGGTAGCAAGAAACGTGTTGAGGGAAACAAATACACAAATTAACTGCCAAAGATTTAAGAAGAGTTGAACGTGAAGCTACCAGGAACCCATTATCCTCCAGTGCTGTCACATTCCAGAAATGCAACCTACCTGGAGTGCCCAGAAGCATAAGGTGTTCAGTTATCAGAGACATGGCCATGGTAAGGAAGGCTGAAACCCGACCACCACTGAACAAAACACATAAGTTGAAATGTCAAGACTGGGCCAGGAAATATCGGAAGACAGATTTTTCAAAGGTTTTATGGACTGATGAGACTCTTGACTGACCAGATGGATGGCCCTGTGGCTGGATCAGTAACGGGCATAGAGCTCTACTTCGAATCAGATGCCAGCAAGGTGGACGAGAGGGGCTGGTATTATTAAAGATGAGCTAGTTGCACCTTTTCAGGTTGAAGATGAACTCAAAATCAACTCCCAAACCTACTTTAGAAGACACTTTCTTCAAGCAGTGGTACAGGAAAAAGTCTGCATCTTTCAAGAAGATCATTATTTTTATACAGGACAGTGCTCCATCTCATGCATCGAAGTACTCCACTGCATTGCTAGCCAGTAAAAGGCCTTAAAGATGAAAGAATAATGACATGGCCCCCTTCCTCACCCAACCTAAACCCTACTGAGAACTTGTGGGCCCTTAAATGGGAGATTTACAGTGAAGGAAAACAGTACACCTCTCTGAACAGTGTCTGGGAGGCTGCTTGCTGCTGCACAAAAAGTTGATTGTCAAGAGATCAAGAAACTGACAGACTCCATGAATGGAAGGCTTATGACTGGTATTGAAAAGAAGGGTGGCTATATTGGTAACACATTTTTTTTTTATGTCAAATATTAATTTGTAAGTTTTGAGTTGTTTATTATTCTCACTTTGACCGATGAAAATAAACAAGTAAGATGGGAAATTTTTTGTTTTTCATTTAGTTGCATAATTCTGCACACTAATAGTTGCCCAATAATTGTGCACACATAGACATTCTCTTTTACTCTCTTAAATATTCAGGTTTGAGGTTTATTAACATTTTGGATTGACCAAGAGCACTGTAGTTGTTCAATAATAAAATTAATCCTCAAAAATACAACTGGCCTAATAATTGTGCACACAGTGTATATTGCGACCAGTGTTGTAGTTAAGTAACTAAACCTTGAGTCCAAGTCACCAAAGTATAATCCGAGTCGAGTCTGAATTGAGTCTGAGTTGAGTCCCCATCAAAGTCATCAGTGTCTACATTATATACAATTGACATAGCTCTCACTATTTTACATTCCAAACATTCTAATAGTGTATTGCATCACCATATTGTTTGGCAGTTTGATACATAAAAGTTATTTATAGAAAGGTGGAGTGCATGCTTTGATGGAAGTGTGCTGGATAGAGCATGGCGTGGGTGAATAGGTTTTAACATCTTATTTGTCTGAAATTTGTCAAGAATATCCAGAGATTTTGTGCATGGGCCCTTGACTCTTGCCTACTTCAGACACTTTATAAAGTTTTGGCTGATCAGAGCCTTTGGGGCGACATTCCTGAAAAATATCAGGGTCTTGTGTTTCGTAATAAGTAAACGTATCCCAGTGCAGCAGAGTGCTTCCCTGATATGTTTTTAATTGTATTTGAACATCAGTGGAGGTTTATGGCACAGACAAAAAACTAATCCAGGACTGACAGACATTAATAGTGACTAGAGGCAAATCACTGTTGGTTTTAGTCTCTATATGGAAAGTGTTGAAAATACTGTTAATATAGAAAATGACCAACTGTATCTTTTAAACAATGATGAATCAGAGGCAGAAATATAAAGTACATATATTTTGTGGCTAGAGAGAAAACAAAACATTGGTTGGTCCTTTAAGATACTCAGCTCTACTCTGATTGTATCAGTTAATAATAAGATAAGATTATCCTTTATTGTCGTTGTAACACATACAACGAAATAATGCCAACCACGTTCATTTAAACACTGGAATCTGTAGATAAATCACTAAGTCCTCAGTGATGACATGCTGTGCTGTTACATGTTTACAGTATAGTGAATATAAATCATTCTAATTTAGACATGGACAGATATGTGGCAACATCGTGTGTGGATGTTGTGTGCTTAAGTGTAGGAGCCTGCTTCTGCATGTTCACATGTTTGCATGTTTTATCTGCACAGGTGAACAGATGTGTGCTCTGTCTGTGTACAGTGAGATGTCAACATAATGTCTCTATGTTCCTGCACGTGTTTCATGTGCACCGTGTCACATGTTCTACTTTCACCACACCTGCATATGTGTTTGTGTTTCTGATGTCTGTTCAGGTCCTCCTTGGATGGATGTTGCCCATGTATGTGTTCTCTATACACAGCACTATGTAGTGGTTGGAGCAGGAACGGGTGTGTTGTCCTAACAGTCGTCCTGTCTGCAGCAGGGCAGCCTGGCCTGTCACCGCCATGTCAGCTGTCCTCCACGCCTCACAGTAGTTAGTGGTCATGCGGATGCCCACAGTACTGGAGCCATGCCATACCAACTTCTCTGGCCTGAGGTAAGATGAAGAGAGACTTAGTGAGCAGATGTTGCATGGGCAGCCACTGTGCTAAATCAGACAAGATGAGGGAGATGAAAGCTGGGAAGATTAGACTGAAAGAGACACATTTGTTTAAAGTACAAGTGATATGAAACTTTAGGTCAGCAGTTACTTAGCATTTCAACTGTAGCTGCTTCCGCAGTGGTTAACATCTTTGCTTCTGTGTTGAGTTTTATGGAGGTGTTTCAAGTTCTGTACAGGGCTAAAACTCAAACCAGAACCCAGTGGTGAATAAATTGCTCAGATATTCTACATAAATAAAAGCAGCAAAAGTAGTATTTACAAATTCTGCTTCAAGTAAATGTCCCTTATTCAAAATGTAAGTAAAAGCACCAAATATCAGCAAAGTATACTCAAAGTACCTAAAGTACTCATCATGCAAGCTGCCTTATATGCTTATAATTTGAATTACTCTACTGTATGTATTGCTGGAGAATGTGATTATCTCTCTGAGGATCAATAAAGTCTTATGATTTTACTGTATTTTGAATTATTAATATGGTTCTGAAAAGTAACTAGTAACTAAAGTGACTTAAGTCATCAAATAAATCTAGTGGAATAAAAAAGTACAATATTTTTCTCTGAAATATATTGAAGTCAAAGCATGAAGTAGCAGAAAATAGAAGTACTCAAAGTACAAGTACCTCAAAAATGTACTTAACTACAATATTTGATGCAGTATTTGTACCTGACACTACCTTATCTGAGATCAAAACCTGAGACGCAAAGCTGTCACATGTCAGTCAGTTGTGCTCTATTGTTTCTCTGCCACATCACTAACTCTCCCCTTGTTTCAGCTCTTACCCCTCCTCTACTGCTCTGCATCCCCCTCCTTCCCACCACTAAAAACACCTGACCGTGACTGCCCACCTGCTCGCCTGTCCCTCATTTCCTAATCACTCCCTCGTGCATACAGTATACTGGTCATTTCCCATTTACCTTTTGCCAGATTGTCTAGTGTGCATTGCCTGCTGTAAATTTCCAGACTGAATTTCCTGCTAGTTTATCTGTTGTTGACCCTGCTAGGTTTTGCCTTGGCCTATGGTAGACTGTTAGCCCGTTTCTGAGCACTGCTTGTTCCTTGACTACAACTTTGGATCCCTTTGCTGCTGTTTACTTGCAGTTACTAAATAAAGATCAACTGTTGGAACTGTATTGAGGATGACATTGTTATGCATTTGAATCCAAATCTGAATCATGACTCAAAGCTATATTTTTGCTTAATGTCATCCATCGCTGACTGGTAGCTTGTCAAATTAAGGCAACACATTGGTTACATGTGCAACTACTTGCAACACGTGACACACATGGATGCATAAACAAAATGAACTGCTTTTTCAAGGTTAAATAATACATGTTTTCATACAGGTTGGGACTGAAAAGGTCATCAGCTTTGATGACTGGATTTCATTTCTCTCCAGACAAATAACTTTTCCTTACAGTACTTGCTTGCACATAAACACACTCACCATGCTGTGTCAGTCATAATGTTACGTCCGTCAAAGGAGTAGATAGGTGTGGATGGGTTAAATGTGCCTCCATTCCCGGAGAAGATGGATGTCCAACTACTGAACAAAACATCTCCCTGGCAGAAGTGGAGAGAAGAGATCAATACAACTGAACTGAATACCCTCAAAGAAAGATTCCAACAGTAAACACATCATCAATCATGTTTGTATCTTTAAACTTGTAGGAAGACATATATTACATATATATGTAATATACATTTCTCCTCACCCTGAGATTCACCACTGGCATGTCATTGCTGTCTGCCTTCCTCACAATGGTTGCCAGGTCCTGGAGGTGTGAAGACAGGAAGGCCCTGTATGTGGCTGTTAGCCCCATGGACTGAGCCTGCTGGTAGCACTGGAAGTCTGCCCCACGGATGCCACGCATATCTCCTCTCAGAGGGGTGTTCAAAGCTACCAGGTGGAGCTGGGAAGAAGAAAAAACACAGAAGAAATGAGAAAATATACTTTGTCCAAATCGGACTCAGATCTTGCATCAGTCAGGCATGCCAGAGTTTGGCTGGCTACTTACGTCCATGGCAGATGGTAAATAGTTTCTGAAGGCATCAAAACGTTGAAATAACATTAATGGAATTATGTAGTAAACAAAAAGTAGCCACCTTTTGCTTCCATGACAACTTTGTACACTCTTCGCACTCGCTCAGTCAGCTTCCTGAGCTAGTCACCTGGAATGTTTTTTCAGCAGTCTTGAATGGTTCCCCGTATATGCACACAGTAGTTGGAGCAAAATTTTGAAACCTGACTCAAATACAGATTTTCACGGACCTCATTCTTGCCCCAACCAGATCTCTTCTTGTTCAGTCCTTGGCAACAATTTGACCATGAAGGCCTGATTCACAGTCTCTTCTGGGAAGCACTGATTTGGGTTGGCAACTCTAATGAACCTTTTCTCTGCAGCAAAGGGAACTCTTGGTCTTTTTTTCCTGGTTCCATCATAGTGTATTATGAATTTTATAGCTGCCTTTGAAACAACAGTTGGAGTTCTCTTCTTTTCCAGATTGATTAACCTTCATATGTTAAAGTACTTGGTTGAGTGACTATTACAGTAGCTGAATAAGGCTATTTGCTGTATACGGATGCTACCTCAGCACAACACAACTGATGGCTTCAACTGCAATACATGTGTGTATTACACTCACCCCAGATACAGTGTTGAAGGTCTGTGGTAGTACGTTATAGCTGGGCTGATAACCTCTACTGCCCTGCTGCAGCTCCTGTTAAAGAAGATGAATTAAAAACATGAAAAACTGTTTCTGTAATTTTTTTTCTAGGAGTGCTAAATGAAAGAAATGTTGACAAAAAAACTTTCAAAAATACATGTATTATTACATAGTTTTAAATGAGAAACACATCTGGTCTTAACACATTTTCCTACTGTGGCTGTTCTCTCTGTGCATTTACAGTGTGTGTGTGTGTGTGTGTATATGCATGAACCTGGCTATGGATCCTGTGTGGTCTACTCCACTCTCCAGGTCTGCTGAGAGCCTGAGATAATGCTGAGGAGGAAGGTCCATGATGGATCAACTCTCCAAGCTGAAAGAATACATATATTCAGAATCTGGTTAAGAGTAATGATCCCTTTTTTTTCACCAGTCAGATTCACTTTTATTAGGTAAAATGTGACTTTAGACGATGACACAAATGTTACATTTATTTTATTGTATTGTAGGCCAAACTCAAAATTTGAAATGTGTTCATCTTGTGAAAATTCAATTCTGCCTCATTAACAGGTGACATTTTTACATAGTTTATCTTTAATAAAATACTTTTATTGGTACAGTGATAGTAAATTACATACTGTATAAATAAATGACAGGTTAGCACACTGAACCAAACATACACATGCCGGTGTACAATACACACCTGGATATTTTGCCAGCCATTGTGCACTCTGATGTATAGCTGTCCTCCCTTCTCAGACACATAAGCCAGGGTTCCTTGTGCAGACTGGTCACTGTCTCTGCTTAGAGAGTCCTTTGTTTTATAGGTGGTCACCTGAGTACACACAACATCACAGTGTCAGTGCTACAGGCACTTTAAAAAGTTACTATATGGCTGACATATCACTACCATAATAAAAACTATATTACCATGTTGTGACTAAGTTCTGTGATTAAATGTGTGGTGAGACTGGAGATTTTCTGTGAATCACTATAAAGTGGTGGACAACTGAAATACAGCAGACCAAGAACAAATCCCTGCTCAAGGGAACACAAGTGTCTTACTGGGTTGGCATGTCCTGGTGGACCAGGAGGCCCAGGAGGGCCGGGGAAACTGACAGCTGGTGACATAAGAAATACAGATAGAAACCAATGAGTCAACTTCACCATATGCACAGAGTTTGGTCAGTAACTTTTGTTGATAAAGGGGGGTAAAAAAAGGTGAAATATTTTTCAGTCTCTCTTCTTCTCTCCATCACACACATACCGGATCCATAGGCAGGTGCAGGTCCTGGGGGTCCAGCAGGGCCAGGGGGCCCACGAGGACCAGGTCGTCCGAAACCAGGAGCTCCAGGCAGGCCAGGAGGACCGGCAGGACCTGGTGGACCCACAATCGACTTACCTTTTGGGCCCTACAGAAACACAGTGGCAAATTAATTCACATGGTCATTCCTCACTGCAACTTCAAAATGACTGGAAATTGGAATAGTAATTAAAGGATGCAGCTTATTCTTATTAGAACTCACCACAAGTCCTGACCTCCCTGGAAATCCAGGAGGACCAGTGTCCCCCTTTTCTCCCTTTTGACCTTTGTATCCCTGATCACCTCGAGCACCCTGATCGATCCACCAAGAGACAACAGTACAGAAGAGAAACCACAAGGCCATTTAAAGAGAAGTTCAAAATTCAAGATGTTCAAGATACAGTACATGTTTCAGTTTGTCTCTCAAACTACATACCTTTTTGTTTGTGAAACTCACAACCTCCCACATATTAGCAAGCGAATGAGAAAAAGCAACTAAAGTAGTCAACAAAAGACCTAAGGTCTGTTTATGGTTTCTGTATGAGGAACTTCAACCTGAACTGGTCTTTAGACATACACACTATAAGCAGCATGAGTATTTTTTTTTGGATATGCCTTTTTCTGGCTACCCTCTGAATCTAAGTAAACTATTCACTCTACTTTCAGCTGTGTTTTGGTCTTGATCAACTCCTAAAAAAATGATGTGTGGCTCTTTAGCTGCTAAATGTTCCACTATGTTTATTTATCAAATTTATTTTATTTATTTATTTTTTGCACTGATGGTTTTCTAGTCACTGTTTTCTCTGACCTTGACTGCTTTAAATCTATAGTGTGTGAAAAAGCAGTCCTCACCACAAGTACCTCTGGAAACCCAGGTGCTGTGGAGAGGAAAAATAACATGACATAAGTGATACAAGTTCCTCCAGTCACTGACCTGTATGAAACTGGATTTTTATGAATCCAGGATTTTGCTCGATTGCAGCTAATGAAACCTGTATTGCAATAAAGGTCTTACCGGGTGTGCCTGGCTCTCCAGATAAGCCCTCATCCCCTTTGTCTCCTTTAGCTCCAACTGAATGTCCCCTCGTTACTGACTCCTACACAAACGTGTGCACACCCATTAACACTACATAGATGCCAGCATGTGCACATGTACAGGTACAGTCAGACCAACTGTACAGACAACTGAACACTGATTAAATTCATTTTTTTTTAAATAAAACACTCATGAAGAAGATGTTAAAAATTGTCAAATTCGAGTTAAAATAGAAAAACACAAATGTCAAAGATTAAAACTGTGGTGTCACTACTGCAAAACATCTGTTAAATACACAGGAAGCATGCTGGAAATCGCTGCACAGAAACCGTCACCCAGCTGTAAAGGTTAAAATACAAAAAGTTAGGAATTAGGATTAAAGCCTGTACAAACAAATCTGGGTTCATAAATGATGAGAACATTTCCTTATTTTATCACAGGGGATTGTGTTTTACAGTGAGTAACCTCGAATGACCACCTGGAAGCCCGCTAGACCACAGCCAGACAGCTACATTATAAATTGGCAGCTGTCACAACCAACAGAATAAACTAACACATTGATAACTTTACCCACAACACCTTTTAAACAAGTAAAAAATAAATGGGGTGTGTTAATGCCTGATGAAATGAGAACAGACCCACAGACATGTAGCCTTTCAAACATCATTAGTACAGTAGGAGAACAAAGAAAGAGGGGAAGAGGTAAACAATGGGGGAAGAACAAGGTGTGGTTTGTAGCCCAGACCAGAGAGCCACCATGCTGCTACACCCACATACCAATAGAACCACCAGACGGTCTAATTTCAGACTGAAACAGACCGACCAGATGGTCCGACTCAGACTTACTCGTTGCTTTTTGCAGTGCGGTCTGGGGCGCAATGGAAACACTGTCTTTAAGATTCAAAGAAGAGCAGTGTAATCAGACTAAAGGTGCAAAGTAAATCAACTTCAGTAGAGTCAGGGTCAAAACACTGATGAGCTTTGCAGGCTTCAGTTGAGACACATATTAACTTTTTAATTCTGATGGCAGAATTTTTGTTTGTAGAAAAATCCTTTTGAAAATTAAAACCTGCTAAAGGTTGAATTTTTTAAAATTTTGTCCATGTTAGAGCTTTAGTACACATAACCTCAGAGCCATACTTACTCCATTCAGACCAAGAATCCTTCCTGGAAGTCCAGGGCGGCCTGGAGGACCTGGGGGTCCCTGAGACAGAGCGAACAAAACATTGTCATTTTACTGACTTATAAAGCTGCTTTGTTTGCTAATGCTAGTGAGCAGTTTCCTATTTACACATCCAGTGGACAAGGAGGAGCAGTAGCATTCATTTGAAGTTCTGCTTGATGAACAATAAGAACAATGAGACTTGGTGGGCTGGAAAACCCAAACAATGACCTCTAAAAGATTTAGTGTTTTAGTATAATGTTCTACAGAGCTGTTATCTGAGGAGTCCAGTGAAAATTCTCTGAATGTATCACTACAAACGTAGTGATGTTGTCATGTGATTCATTGTTAATGTAAAAATACTGACTATAATCATGTTAGAAAAATCACAAAATGCTTATCTTATTTAGTTGTGAAATTGTAAATATACATGTAGTTTTTAATGGTTAAATAATTTATTGATTTGGGCTATAACAATGGGGAAAATGGCTATCTTCTTCCTCTTACTGGTAGGCCAGCAGAATCTCCTCTATTGCCTTTCTTTCCAGGCACACCAGGTCGTCCCTACAGAAAAAAGAATCACATTATTGATATGCATCATCAGTATACATGTAATAATAATACATGTATAAATCAAAAGATTTTTTTATATTGATCTTGCTACTGCAACACTGCCACACTGGGCGTTTACATTTTTTTCCACTGACTTTTGAGTCACTACCTCAGACTCAACATACAGAGGAAGTGCTTGTTTCCTGACAGTATACAACCAAATAAATGGTACTCACTGGGCGACCAGGGAAGATAAAATTATTGTAAGATGGTATAAATTTTGGAGCTATTAATCTTCTGTTTTATATGAACTCACCATAACTCCAGGTGGTCCTGGGAACCCACGGTCACCCTAAAAAAATACAAAGCAGTGCACCAGATGAGAATATTTGGCATGTAGACATTTACATTAATGGTAGTAATATATATATATATATATATTCAAAAACATGATTTTTCTGACGGTAGGTACAAAAAGTTATTTCTTTAGAATAACAGAAGGATTATTCCCATCTTTAAAAAGCACCAAATTTGGTGCCAGTTTAAGTCTCCAAAAAGTACTAAATGTTGTGGTCTCCATTAGGGTTTAGAATCTACAGTGAGTCTGGTTTTGGTGTTCTGGTCCCTGTGTCACTTTTGTTCTTGTTCTACAATCAGCAGCAGCAGCATCTTGTAATAACCAGCCATTTGGAGCCATTTGGAACCAATGAAATTTACTTTCATTGGTTCCAAATGGCTCCAACTGTAACAATTAGCTTAACTGGAATTTTACAGAATTACAACAACCATATAAACACTAGCGTGTTCAGTTACTTCACAGCACTGGAGATGCATCTGACCACTGTAGTAATGGTTTAAGCATCAGTTAGTCAGCAGGATACAATAGAGTCAGTTAAGGGCTAGTACCTTAATGCCCTTGGGCCCCTGGGGGCCTCTCGGCGCAGATGAGAGAGCTCCATCAGCAGCAATGGTCACCCCGGGTTCTCCTTTTTCTCCCTGTTAGTGTAAAGAAATGTGATTTAGACATTTTCATTATTTATTTTACTCGGCTCAGTAGCATAAAGTCTAAATAATAAAAGTGTACAAGCCTTTATGAAATAAGAATTTTCAAATTTTTGTTCTTTAGGTGACTTTGCAATTTGTCTACAGTGGCAAGCAAAAGTAAAAAAAACCCTTTGAAATAACTTGCATATATATATAGATATGTTCTAAAATATGGACATATTTTAGGTTTAGGTTATAATTATGAACAAATCATTTCCAATAACTAATAACATACATTATTTAAGTGCAGGTTAGAAAAAACTATATGAACCCCAAGGCTAATGACATCCACCTGAAGTCTAACCAGTGAAGCCAGACTGCAGGTGTGGGTTAGAGCTACTGTGACTCAAACTACACTCAGAAATAACTAACTGGAGCTGGTTGACATGTCCCTGAGTCTACCAAGTAGAAGTTAGTTAAAAGTTACACCACAGAGGAAAAAAAAAAGGAAAGATACCATCACTGTGCATCAGAAGTTTTTGGAATGATTAAACTAAGGTTGAATTGTTTGGGAAGAACACACAGTACTTCATATTACATACAGTACATCATCCCCATGGTGAGGTACAGAGGAGGAAGCATCATGATTTTGGGTCACTTTGCTGCATCTGGGCCTGGGCAGCTGCTATTATGGAGGGGAAAATGAAGTTTATTGTGGATTTCTCCAGGTTAATGTCAGGGTGACTGTCTGCAAGCTGAAGCTCAACAGAAGTTGAGTGATGCAGTAGGACAATGACCCTAAACATCAAAGTTAATCCAGTAATGAATAGCTTCCAGCTCCCCCTCTTAGATGATCCAGTCTGACTTTAACCCAGCAGAGATGCCTTGGGACGAGCTAAGGCGAGGCTGAGGAAGAACGATCCAAAATTCTTTCTGAACATTCTCAAGGTCTGATCTGCAGTTACAGGAAGTGCATGTTTGATGTTCAAGGAAGTTCATCCAGTTATAAATCCAAGGCTCCAGTTACAGTACAATACTTTGGGCACCAGCAAAATATCAGTATTGTATACAGGTGCCTTCAGGCTTTCTGATTTTATATTCTGTAATCTTATTTTGTTTGTACTTTGACTAATTTTTATTGTACAGGAGTTTTATAGTCGCTTACAGACTGTGGTTTTAAATTTGTGTAATTTTAACCTTTCCTTTTTGTTAGTTTATGTGTCTTAACATGTTCTGCTTTTATTTTTATATATTTTGTTGTGAAGCACTTTGAGCTCCCTTGGGTGTTGTAAAGTGATATATAAGCAAATAAATTATTGTTATTTATTTTGTGTGTTCTTAGCGCATTGTGTTGGTCTATATTTATAACTTAGATGAGGATCACACCACATGTTATGATCATTTTGTTATGGTATGATTATTTATGGAGATTGTGGATTCTTTCTTCTTTTTTTGGACAATTCAGGAGGACCCCTTGTCTCCACAGTTTTTATTGTTCCCTGAGGTTTAAAGGGTGACATAATGTTTATTCTGCGCAGCTTGGTCATCACTCTGCGGTCTAGTTCTCACCTTGAGCCCTGATGGCCCCTGTACACCTGGAGGCCCTTTGTCTCCTTTGGGTCCTCTGGGGCCCTGGGAAAGAGCAAAAGAATAATGAGGTCTAGGTCACAAAACTTTGTTGTGAATTCTACATTTGTTTGTTTTTATGGGTCTGTGCCTCACTGAGGACTATAACAGACATTCCGTAGAAACACCATACAATGAACATAACTATTGGTGACAGAAAGGCTGCCATACTTTACCTGCCCTGTTTAGCCCACTAACAGCAGCAAAGCTTTAAAAATATTGTTTTATTGCTTTCAAATAATTGTTGCATCCTCATTTATAAACTGCAAAATACTCATGTATATCAAATTGTTTGCATGCTCAGTCTAAGGTAGTGTTGCAGAATGGTCTTACAGGAAATCCAGCTCTGCCATGCAAGCCTTCAGGGCCCTGCAACATGCACACACAAACACATACACATCATACACATGCATGCATAAACAGAAGAATGCAGCCCCAGAAATTCAAAGAAGCTAGCTGCAGAGGAAAATACATTAAACTACTTGATTTGTAGTTAAAATCTATGTAAGTGCTGGAATATACAGTATGTAACTGGTGATAATACAATTAATCACCCTCCTTCAGTCCTTTTTTGGGGGGCAACAGGATGCCTCAGTAGCCTAATGGTTAATAGTTAATTAATACCACATAAATGTAATATCCTCATTTTGAATCCTAGCTGGGGGACCTACCCCTTTTGCTTAATCTTTTGTCCATATTTATCAAAAAATAAGCTTAAAAAAAAAAACACAGGCACTTTGCTTTAACAGTGTATTTCTACACACCATGGGTCCTGGTGGTCCTCTGATCTCAGTGAAGTTGAAAATACCCCCTGTAACATTGAGGAGCAGCTGTAAAGAGAGCATACAATGAGTAACGGACATTGTTGGCAGATTTGTCAGATCTGACCGTGGACGTCTCAGTAGAGCCATCAAATTGAAGGTGTGGTGTCATATTACATCAGAGAAATGGCCTGAAACCTGGAGAGTGTGTCAAACATTCCTGCAAATGTTCCTTCAGCCACTTTTATACTTTAGAGTGAAATAATTTTATTATGTATAACAATCAGGTACACATTTTTTAAAGCTCTAAAACATCACTTTGGATGTTTAATGTTAATCAACTACTTCCATGTATTAAAAATCATAACTCATCTTGCGTGTATCTTTGTGTGTATATACAGTATAGATGTGTACATACATCCTGCAGATTAAGAACAGGTCCAGAAGGCCCAGGAGGCCCAGGTGGTCCTGGGATGCTGAGTCCATCAGCACCACGATCACCCTGCCAGACACACAACAGAGAATAAAAAAACTTAAACTTGTAAAGAAAGTGTCTGAAACCAGTTGGATGGAGTAACTAGTTTGCAAGATGGAGGCGGGATAAGCATGCAGGGAAATGAAGGAACTATATGATAGCATCAAGTAATCATGATGGGAGTTCACTCAATTTAAACATGAAGCATGAAACATGGGTACAAAGAACAACCCATGCAGACTACATTCAGGTCTGTCAGATATTAACTTCTGCACAATATCACTTTTGCTTGGCAACCTTACCTTGAGCCCTGGGCTGCCTTTTTCTCCTTTGGGTCCCTGTTTGCAGAGTAAACAAAAATTAAGTATAATGCATGTGTTGGTCACCATTATCTCAATAGGGTGATCTGAATAGAGACTAACGATGACATATCATCACATTCTGGTGATCCACTGACAGTTGGGGGCAGGCACAGTGAGCTGTCAGTTTAGAGTGGATGATGTTCGTGATGATGGTGTTGAACACTGAGCTGAAGTCCACAAGGAGGTTCCATGCATAGGTACCCGGGGAGTTGAGATGTAGCAGGATGTACTGCAGTGCCATGCTAACTGCATCATCCACTGACCTGTTTGCCCAGTAGGCAAACTGCAGGGGGTTGAACAGGGGGTCTAAGATATCCTTCAGGTCTAACACCAGTCTCTCAAAGGACCAGGCTGCACACTGAAGCTATGTGCTGACCAGCTAGCTGGGGTGTTCACCAATATCTTCAACCTGTCCCTGCAGCAGGCCACATTTTCCACATGCCCCATTGTTCCAGTGCCCAAAAAGCAAGCAGTCAGTTGCCTTGATGTTTATCGCCCAGTTACACCAACCAATATAAAGTCCTTCGAGAAGCTTTTTCTGTCCCACATCAAAGCCAGCATTCCCATTGATCTGGACAGCCACCAGTTTGCCTACCGTGGAAACAGCTTGACGGAGGGTGCAATCTCAATTGCACTTCATACAAGCCTGACCCATCTGGAGAATCCAAACACATATGTCAGGACGCTATTTGTTGATTTTATTTCCACTGTCAATACAATAGTCCCCCACAAAATGGTAAACAAGCTCAACAACACGGGATTAACCACCACACCATCCTAGATTATGGATTTCCTCACTAACAGACCACAAAATGTCCGGGTGGGCAACTTTACATCATCCACTCTCATTCTGAATACAGGAGTACCACAGGGCTGCATCCTCAGTCCAGCCCTCTTCACCTTGGTCACCCATGACTGCATCCCCACCCACTCCGCCAACACTATAGTAAAATTTGCTGATGACAGCACTATACTTGGACTGATATCTGAGAATAATGAGACAATACAAAGAGGAGGATCAACACCTTGTTGAATGGTACACATACAGTAACTTGGTCCTGAAAACCACAAAAACAAAGGAGATTGTTGTGGACTATAGAAGGACCGGGAAAGCATCACCTCCCCCCTCCATATAAATGGTGAGGATGTTGAAAGGGTCAACGACACAAAATTCTTGTGTCTGCACATCACAAAAAAATCTGACATGGATTGTTTACACCTCTTAATTATTTAAGAAAGCTCAGCAGAGGCTCTTCTTATTGAGGAAGCTTAAAAAAGCTATAGTCCCTTCTCAGCTCCTAGTGAACCTCTACAGAAGCACAATAGAAAGCATTCTCTGCCACTGTGTTACAGTGTGGTACACCACCTGCACTGCAGAGAATAGTGGGAATTGTGGGAACCCAGCTCCCCAGTTTTGACACAGTTTATGCTAGCCACTTACACAAGAGGGCTAGCAACATCATTAAAGACTCCACCCATCCAGGCTACAGACTGTTTGTCCCCCTGCCCTTGGGCAAAAGATACAGGACAATGAAGACACACACTAACAGGCTAAGGAACTGCTTCTTCCCCAGAGCGGTAGCTTGTCACATCACTCAAACACCTCTGTACACATCTCATCTCATTTTCTATACCACTTAGTCCTGAACAGGGTCACAGGAAGGCTGGAGCCAATCCCAGCCAGCATTGGGTGAAGGGCGGGGTACACCCTGGACAAGTCGCCAGTCTATCGCAGGGCCAACACGCAACCAACAACCGCACACACACATGCACTCCTACTTAGAGTCACCAATCCTAAGCCACATGTTTTTGGACAGTGAGAGGAAGCCTGAGTACCTGGAAAGAACCCACACAAGCACAGGGAGAACATGCAAACTCCGCACAGAAAGTTTGCGAACCCAGAACCTCCTCACTGTGAGGCAACGGCGCTAAACACTGCACCACCGTGCTGCCCCCCACTGTACACATATGCCATTGTATATATTTGCTGTTGGGTTTATTGTTGTTGCTTATATTTATATTGTAACTATCTTGTTTTATTTTGATTCACTTATCACTGCTGGTCACTGAGAATTGCCAAACTAATTTTGTTGTACAACTACAATGACAATAAAGTCTGTATCTATCCATCTATCTATCTCTATCTTTTGTCAGTGTGTTCCTGGCCAGCCTGTACAAGATCCTGTCCCCACTTCTGTAGACCTCCTCTTTGGCTCAACAAAGCCATGAAGAATATTTGTGGAAAATAAAATATTTTTATTGCACATTTTTTATGTGCAAATAACCTCAACCTCATTTGTTTTTTAAAAATATTTTTATATATACACTTTTTGGGAAAATTATTACACATGATTTGCAACATCACAATGCAAATTTTTTAAAAGTCAAAAAAATATTAAAACAAAAGTAATATCCTTCAGTAATGGTTTATGGTTGAAACTTTGAATTTCCAAGTATTTCAATGAGTGCCCTATAAAGGGTTAAATTAAAACTATTCTTACTATTCACTATGGTTTAACAAGCAGTTCCATACTGGGGCTACTAACTGAAGAGTACTGTCTTAATGTTTGCACCTTAGTTTGTAAGTGCACAACAAAACTATGAGTTAATCAGCCAGGACATCTCCACATCTGTCAACATCATCAGTTCATTTGAAACATTTGGCCAACCTTGATCAGAGTTATTTAAAGTATGTGAGTGAATAAACTATTTTGCAAAAAATAATGAAAAATGAAGATTCATCAACACCTGTGTTGTGTAAATGCCTGTTACTTACCCTTGGACCTGGTAACCCAGCAGGACCCTGAAGACCCACTGATCCTGGGTCCCCTGGTTCGCCCTAAAGTCATACACAGCATGGACACAAAAGTGGCAAATAGCAAAATTGATTTCACTGTTACATGTTTAACTGGAGTTGCATAAATAAGATGTATTGCATTTCTAATAATATTTAAATGACATCTACCATTGAGAGAAAAGAATATCCACCATTGTTTGTATCAGTGCACTAAAAAAAAAATTAAGACTAGGACAATAGCACAAAAAAGTCTGCAAATTTAATTTCTTTTGCCACCAAATAAAAAGAGCAAACAATATCTTATTTAAGCAATGTTGTCTCAGAATCCACTTACCTTGACAGAGAGGCCTGGGGGGCCAGGGGCACCATCTCTACCCTAGAAAGCACAGAAAAGTATCTTTAACTACTGAGCAAGATGGGGAAACAAAAAGGGTATTCAACAGCACACTTCTCACAGAGGAACACTCCATATAGTACTACCAGCTGCTAAAAATAGAACATGAGCCACCTTCCACAAGCGTAATGTGTATATATAATGAATATGCATAAATATATTACCTTTGGACCCTGTGGGCCAGGTGGGCCAGGGGAACCCTGTAACAAACAAAACAGATACAATTGTATATGAAACAACATATACAGTCTATATAAACACACACACTGTGGTACTGACCTGTGGGCCTCTGACTCCTGGTCCAACGAGCATGTCACTCCTCCCAGATCCTTCCATATCCTGAAAGCAAACACATCAACATGAAATCATTCTTTGCACTTCTTGTCACTTGTTACACTCTCAGTTTAATTAATGTTAGTCTGTATAGCAGCAGTGATGTGTATGTGTAGCTGGTTAGTGTGAAATACTGTCACCTCTACAAAGAATTTGGATCCTGGAGGCCCGGGAGGTCCAGGGGGTCCTGGGGGCCCTACTGGGCCTCTCTTCACCTGTGGACCAGGGGGGCCTGGGGACCCACATTCACCCTGCAGAGATAAAGAGAAACCAGAAAATCCTTTCAACAAAAGCTGCTTAATTACTGTAACACTGATTTGCCCTTGTTCCGGCTCCATGCTAGGTGGTATTCATTACCTTTGGCCCAGGTGGTCCAGGTAACCCTTGGTCACCCTGCGTATATAAATACAAGGAAGAAACAAGTGAGCACTTCATGACTTTTATGAAGAATGGTGCAAACTGAAACAATCATAAGATCATTATTAATGAAGTCAGTCCATATGTGATCAACTGACACAGACATCATATGAGAGCAGAGGTGTGTGTACAGAATATTTTCAGAAAACCACTTGTAATCAGCATTGAACTGCTTCAAAATCACTCTCTTTCCC